GAGGCCGCTGCACATTTTTGCTGCCGTACCATTTAAAATTTACTACAATTTTCTTTTGGCTTTCACGTGCGCACCCCGCTCACACGGTAAACAATTTGAATACTTTGGCAGGCAGGACACGTAGACGAGGAGCAGCCAGGATGCTTTCGGAGGCGAACCACTGACTGGGGATGTCTCTTTTCCCCAGAAACTATCTTGGCAATGGCGATAGCAGAGTGACACGAAGTAGCTTTGATTGGCTTACATATATGTGGTCTTACTCACGAAAACCCCCAATTAAGGTCATAAAAATATGGCACTCTACATATTTTGACTTAAGAGGAATCATAATTTGAATTATATAATATTTCCAAACATAGAAGTCCTTGTATATATATTTTTAAATAGAACACATATTTGCAATTTGTTTTTATTTCAATCAGTTAAATGAACATGTCGCTATTTAATAGTTAAGTTATTTTGAAAAAATAGTTAAAGCATTTCTTGTTAATTCTCCTAATATTCTTAGATCTATAGTTTTTAGCAAGATATTTATTATTCAATACAAGTAAAGTACTTGCTAAGAGCACCTTTTCCTCACAAGTACAAACATAAATTCCACTCTGACCCCTTCCAAAGCAGTGATTGATTGCAGAACAGGATTAATCAAGGACGAATGAATATTTTAAAAATCCCTTTCACGCTCCCTTTTTAATATTGATAGTTGAAGAGTTTCCCTCGTTGTCTGGCTCTAATCGGAGCGTGCTGGATTCCTTGGGCCCCGGAGCCATCATCTCTGCCCACATAAGCTGGATCCTTAGTTAGGGGGCATCCTTTTCCGGCCACTCCCCTCAAGTGCAGCAACAGGACAATCGTAGCGTAAAAAGTTTGCTCTTTGTTCCCGTAACCCTAACTATGCTTACTCAATCCGCTGCCCCCCTCCATCCCACCAGCGTTTCAGCCATTTGCAATGCAAACACTGCCAGGAAAAAGGAGGTCCTGGGAAAGCCAGGACCCATGGAAAGCCAGGCACGCATCTAGCATTGTGTAATATGCTCTGCGATTTATGTTTGCACTAAGCCGGAGGACAACGGAGAGGGGCAGCCACTCGCATACTGAGCAAGACCCGAAACCAAAAACGAAAGAACATAAATTGAAATGTTCTTAGCAGAAAAAATATTGAAATCATATTTGGGGCAAGTGCAGGGGCATGGAACAGACGCACTTGACTTTAGACTGCGAACTCCGTGTCGGGGGAATCCGGACTCAAGTGGTGCAACCCCCTCGCACAAACATCACACAACTCACAAATGACAAACATCGTGAGGAGCTCAGCAAAAAATTTAGAATATGACAATGCGACTATGGGATACCTATTACAACTTAATTTGCATCTACAGCTTGTTCGGAACTAAGATAAATAGATAGGAGATTTAGTTGTTACACTCAAAATTATACTATATGTAAGCAATGACGACTTTTTTAAAAATTAATAACAAATTGGTTTAAGTTAGAAAAGTTACTTTATTTAAATAACTTTCCTTTTAAAGTAGATTTTTCTATTTATAGAACATTAACTCAACATTTCTAAAATTGATACTGTTCTGACTGTAATAATATTGCAAATATACCAATGCATTCTTTTATAATTTTACAATTACTAAGTTTTTATTAATACATATTTGGTAAGTACACGTATAAGCCAAAAAAATTATTATTAATCAGTTACTGAACGTAAAATAGACATTTTGTGTAATCCTAGTCTTAAAAATTAAGAATGGGATACAAAGAAAAATTTTAACGACCTAAGCCATTAACTATTACCCAGGGATACAAAATGAAAACAAAGAAATACGCAAAATTCAAGGATGAACAGGATATGCTGATATACCCCTAAACGACGATTAATGGATATGAAAAGAAAATATGAAATGAGAATCGAAAAAATTGGAATGGAAGATTCTTTTTTCTTGTTGTTTACACTAGCAGAAGGACTTTGCAAGTAAAAAAGGCGAAAACATGAGTTTAGATCCAACGAAGTTTTGACTGGCAGAACAATGGAGTTTAATAGATGAATCAAGACACGCCTTTGAGAGAAGTACAAGAAGTCAATTCAATTGTCTGGCAGCCGCATATAAAATCGTTTTATGTATATTTTAGCTGCTTTTATTTCCACACTCTACGCTCCACTTTATGGCTTAATACAATTTTTATGTTCTGGCCACTTTGAAGAGTCAACTGAGGCGTCTAAGGAGCAGCACTGGGATGATGGGACACGCGTCCAATAAAAAGCCGAAACATTTGCGGAAAATTGGGCACCTTGTTGCTGGGGGTGGGGAATGTCACCTGCTTGGGGCCTCCGTGGCCCCTCACCTGTTTATTCAAGGATATAAAATGGTTTTATGTGCGGGTCTGGGCCCACTTTAATGCTAATCGCCATCGTCATACGTTGAAAGCGGTCGTAAAAACACTTCAACTTTATTCGTATTATTAGCGCTATTTAGGAGAGTTGGGAACCGAGGGAAAGGTTCGAGGGGCAACCAATCTCAATAAAATAAAATTAGTTGTAAGCAATTTTTGATTTAATTGTAAAGTTAAAGTTAAAGTGCTTGAATTACAAGCTGGGTATTAAATCCACATAATATTAATCACAGCTTGCCCCGGTGTAATTACAGTATTATGTACACACTTAATAAATATTGAGCCCAATGGTTAAGCTTTGAATTGAGTTTTTGTCAATACCATGCCAACCCACAGCAATTTCTCGGCCGGACTTAAATCAAAACCCTGGAATTATCAGCACACAAATAAACAAGACTTGAATTTCATAATTGCATTAACATTAATGTGCAGTTTGCCGCAAACAATACAAGCAATAGATTTGATCATCTTCCCAAACTAACTAGGATTTGAACCTGGCTCCGAGCAACAGGAAATTGGTTAAGAAGCTGGGGAAACGGGGATGAGGGCCAGTAAACAATGGTATTAGTGTTCATTAATTAAGCAAACATAAATATATAGTAGTGCATACGAAAATTTGCACTAGTTTAATCAGACAGCAGGGTTGAACGGAAATTTGTGGGTGGCCACATGGCGTATGGGTAATCCTCTTTATTGGAGCTCTTTAGCCATTTTGCTCGGCCTTTTATCATACGAACTGCAACAGCAACATTTCCATTCTCTACATAAATTAGGATTTAAGCATATAACTACCGATTGCAGATGGGCTTTCTGGCGGCTAATTAGGCTTTTGTTCTGGTCATCATTGCTCCAAATCCTATTCAAGATGATAGCCAAATAGGATGTATATTTATTTGCACATTATTGAAGATTGCATTCGAGAATTAATGCCTCATTTTAGTGAACTCTCAGCCTTCAACATGGGGGTTAAACTATATTATATACATACTATTTTGTATATTTTGGTGTAGTTACCCATTTAGCTCTGCAAATATATTCTGGGCAATGCAAGACAATCTTTGCCAATCTTGAACCTTATATTTATTCACTGACGACAGCCAGGGAGGATGTACTAATTGCACATCTTGTAAGACCCCTGCTCTTAACTCAAACTTATCAATATGCATGACGAACATTTTGACAAGATTTTTAGGGCTCGTCATTTGCATTTTACATACTTAATTGTTTTCCCATTACAGGCAGCCGAATGACTGCCAGAGCTTCATTAGCACCAGGACACATGGGGCTTTCCCCCTACCCACTGCCACGTAAAAGTCAAAACGATTAATGTCAACTTGCTTAATAGCATTCCTTTTGCCTCATCACGAAAAGCGGCTCACCGAACTTAAAGCCTTCTCGGGTAGATGGATCCGTATACCAAAGGCCCCCCCTTTTTGGGCCGAACTGCTGGCTCAACATGTCATGTCATTTTCTGAGATGAGGAGAGTGAGCGGGAAGCTGCGGTTGTTCGCGTGATGAATTACACACTCGCCGAAGGACACGATGATGAAGTGCCTGTCATTCGGAGGCTGAAAGAATGCCCAACGGTCCGTCCAACCGTCCTTCCAGCCGTCCATCCGTCCATCCGTCCGTCCGGCAGTCTGTCAGGTTGTCAGTTCGTCAAGATCTGCTTGGCAGCTGCTCGTATTGTTGTAAGCCATTTGCATAGAGCGTCTTCCGCATAATTTATCGACACTTGAGCAAAACTTTAATTACTCCCCAGCCTCGAGGACCGAAACATTTTTCGCCGGGGGAAAACTCTTTGTGGGGAAAATGGGGCAGCAGATTTCCACCATGTGAATTTCTGCATATGGGGGGAAAATTTTACAAAAGCCTGTGTCCTTTGTCTGTGAAATTCAATGCGTGTTTCCAGTTTATCCTTTGGCCATACATAGCACACATATTGCAATGGATTTGGTAAGGGGCTTCGGGTAGTTTTCGATGCTTTGGACTGTGGACTTTTCCCCCCCCCTCATCTATGCTGCCGCCTAATGGCCTTTAATTGAGCGCTGGGAAAACGTTCAAGTGTTTGCGGGTGTTGGAAATTTTTTGGGAAATTCGATATTGAAAATAAAGTGGCTGTAATGCTCGGTTTGGCCATATTCACTCAAGGCCCGTGGATTGCCTTAGGATTTTGTGTTTTTGTGCTTGAGTTTGCCGCTCTAAATTTGTTTGCTGATTGGCATAATGTGTTTGGCACAATAAGTGTTTTGTACTTGCACAATTATGGCCAAGTGGTAAATTGCCTCGGTTAATGTTTCGTCATGGTAGGGGGGTCTTTGCAATGACTTAATCATTTCGGCAATAAAATACCTTTTATGTATGGAATAAAAAAAGGTTTTTCACAAACTATTAATATTTCAGCCAGTATGCTGAATCTCGCCTCTTTTACATGGATTTATTGTGGTGAAACTTGGGATGGGGTGGTAATGGTGTCGTTCAAAGATGGAGATGGACAAGAAGAACAGCTTGGTCTTGCAAAAATATACATTTATAAAAATCAAAATTTACTAACGATCAAGAACAAACATAAAACAAATTAAAACACAAAAACTCGAATGCATTCCGATCCAGTTTACCCCAGGATGCAATCGCACATGCGCTGGCAGACGCGTCTCCGAAGATTCTCTATCCGAAGGAGCAGTCTGCTGCAATCCTTGTTATCCTTGTCGCCGGAGATGACCTTCTGCAGATCCTGCACGGCCCCAAGGCAATCGCAGTGCTCGGCGAGTCGGGGATTGCGGCACAGGAAGTTATCGCAGCAGATGGGATCGCATTTGTGACTGGGTGCCCTGTACTCCTCCCAACATCTATTCTGGATATATTCCCGGTGACACATTTGGCGATAGTAGGCTCGTAGCTGGCGCTTTTGCTCCGCCCGCCTCATATTCCTCATAAAGGGAGCCTCCGGTTCCTTCTGGCGATCCATAAAATGGCAGATCTCGCACTGGCAACCTTGCGGTGGACAGGGCGGGCAGGTCTTCTTGATCTTCTCAATCTTCTCATTCTTGTCTCCTTCTTTATTCCTAACCTTTTTCTTTTTTTTGGGGGGTACCTTGATCGTATATTTCGGGATCACCGGCAGGAACTTGTCATAGTCTACTACTGGAGTTTCCAGTTCTGTATTACTTAATGCAGGTTCTACTTTACTAGGTCTATCGCTATTTTTCTCCGATGGAGTATACGGAATTACACTAGGTCTTCCCTTTTCGAACACGGGTTCATTTGGTATTGGGATGTCCCTTTTTGGTATTTCCTTTTTAATTACATCCGACTCTGGCTTCCTCTTTTCGATTTTAAAGTTTTCGTCTTCATTAACTTTCTCTTCATTTTTATTCTTATTTTTATTTTTATTCTTATTTTTATTTTTGTGTCTATTTTTATTTTTATTTCCATTTTTATGTTTACGTATGTTTTTAAATTCATCATCATCTTGATCTTTACTTATGTTTTTACCTTTATCCTTATTTAAATCTTTATTTTTTTTCTTCTCCACGACTCTTTCTTTGATATTATCTTTGTCCTTGTCTTCATTTATAATTATATCCTTATGTTTATCCTTCTCTACGACCTTTTTTTTATCGTTGCCATCTCCTTTATCCTTGTTATCACCGGTGTCATCGGCTCCCTCAGTATTACCTTTTTCATTCTCTGCTTTTTCTTTTCCGGTTCCGGGTTTGTCTCCATCATTCGGTGTACCTTGATATGGTGGAGATTCTCCGGATTCTTCAGGCTGCTGACCATCTCCATTACCTCCCTGCCCATCGCCACCTCCTTGATTATCCTCCTTACGGGATTTCTTGGGCTTGCAGCAATCCTCGTAGATCTTGCAAAGCGGATCAGGAGAAGTTTTCTGCTCGAAGCACTTGAGAAACCTCTCGTACAATTGATCGTAGTCCCTGGGCTCCATACTCTTTTTCTCCCTTTGCTCCTGGAGCCAATCCTGGAATTCTTTGTTATGAGGACGAGGGTCTAGTTTGTACCTAGCCCACTCGTACTGAGTGCAAGCATTTCGAGCTTGGTCACAATCCATGGGGCAGTACCAGGGCCTACGACGCAGATCGTTTGGTACCTTCTTGGGTTTAAAGTCTCTGCTCCGGCTTATCCTTATTCGCAACTGGTGTTTAACTCCAAAAGGATCGCTGGGGTCTGGAGGATCAGGGCAATATATTGTCTCAAAGGCTTTTCCGGGTTCCAGATGCTGTTTAACATAGGGCATTAGTTGAAGTTCCGACTGCAGTGTCTGGCGGTTGAGAATGAAGGGTTTGCAAAGCTGAGGGGAAGTGTAAGTGCCTGTAGGTGAAATACTGGGGGGTGTTGATATAGTCTTTTTGGGGCGACCTTGCCGAGAGCCAACACTGCTGACCTTGACCAGGCAGTCCGCCAGCACCCGGTTGAACTCCACCGATTCGGGCTGATGGGTGGGTGACCCTACGCCATAGAAGCCCAACGTGTCCTTGTGGGGACTATGTCTCCAAGCAAGTAAAACGTCGTCCTTGACCATGTCGAAGGGTCGCCCACAGCCATCAGTCACGAGAGAGTTGCCCAACCGGGTGATGGCCTCATCCTGGTGGGGGTTGCATCGTGGCTCCATCGGTCGGATCGAGGGATAAGTCTCAGTCTGGTGGAAGCGGTAATCCTGGCACTTGCCCCTCCTTGGTGGTGAACCATCATCCCGGCAAGCGGAGCTGCGCCAACGCAACGTTCTCCTCCTCATTTCCGATTGGATCGGAATGGACCACTCTTAATTTTCTTTCACTTTACAATTTTTTTCTGTTTTTATCGGATTTGAGAACTGGAACTAAGACTCACAGTTGAACATAGATTTAATAATTTTCCTATTAAAATTTAATAAGTCCAAAAGAACTAAGTTACCAATGGCAAGAACAATTTAGTCCGGCTGAAAGTCTTAGCAACTATGGCCGATTCCTCCCTGTACCTTAAGTCTTAAACTTTTGGCAACAGAGTACAACAAGATACCAATGGCAATGTCATTTGTATTGGCATTACACAACTTGAATATATCTACTACTAAAAACCTTCGTTATAAAATGAAGGAAATAAAATACAATTTTCTGTAAGGAATGCACTTAATGAAAAACTTAATATTTCCCTAAAAATATTAGGAAATGTAGTTCACTAAAGTTCCTTTGAATGCATACTTGCACAAATATAACTTGACTTGCTAACCAAATAACGCCTGTGAATAATGGTAACAAACTTTGGTCACCAAAAATCGAGTTTCTGCAACCTAATCCATGTCACTTTTAAAATGTGCCTACCCAGAGGATGCCAAGCGTTTGCATCCATCCAAATGAACCTCAATTAAAGTTTCCACACTTTAGTTGGCTGTCCCAGTTTCAGGCCGTTTCGATTCTCCCCCGAATTTAGCCATGTTGGCCATACAATTTCCTGCCCATTGCCACATAAATTCGCACACGAAAGAGCCTGACAAGGCAGTGCTATTTATGGAGCAGTTCCTGTTCAACCAAAAAAAGGGAAAAATACTAGATGGGCACGGCACAAAAAGCCAAAGTCAGCTGCTTTTAGTGCTGGTGGCTTTCGGATGAGAGCGAAATGCGAGTACACATAAATCCAAAATTGTCTTTTGTCGCATAAATATTTTACTTGGGGTCTTTAGAGCTGGCTGGCAAGGACATAGACAATAGGCCGGGCTGGTATAGGACATGAAACGACATTATTTCTTATTATTAGAACAGCGCAAATAAATGAGACTCGGAAGGCAGAGGACTGGAGAAGGGCTTTCAGGACCAGGACTTCCGCCCCAATGGCACTTTGTTTGTCCTGCCAGCACCGCAATTCCCACATGTCTGTCTTCATAAATGCTTTATCTCCGGCCAACACACACACGGATGGGGATTTAGTGTGTTGGCTTTTGTAATTATGTGCATATAATAAAGTTGACCTAAATAAAAATAAGCGTCGACTTTGTCGCGTTAAATAAAAGCCCATGGCTGACTATACGCATACATGGGGGACACAATAAAATGGGCGGTATATTGGCCATCAGTACAATAGTCATATTGTGTTCATGTTGTTACTGGGATCCGAGCAGTTCATTAAATGATAAGCCATCGACATCTGGCCAAACAATTGGGGGATCAGGCGATGCAATTTCAGGCCAGTTGAGAAACAATCACTGGTAATTGGAGGGGCTTTACAAAAGGGGGCAGCATCAACATGTAAATAATCATAATTGATGAAGCAGTTGAGTGAGTTGCGGAATTTACGCTCCCGGGTATCTGCCAAGTGACATGTTGCCTTGGCATTATTTGTCGCCCCAATATATTAGACTAGCCTTGGCAAATTCTCGCTACGAGCAGAAATAAATTCATAAATTCAGCAAAAAATGGCAAAAGTCGCATATGCTCACGCTTTTCCTTGGCGAATTTGATTCTTTTTCTGCTGAATGTGCTTCGGCGTTATCCATTAAATGCGATGAATCAACTGTTGGCCGCCATAAACAATATTTGACTCAGTTTCAGCAGCTACGCTGCTCATAAAACGTCAGACGGCGGATGGCAAGCGGAAATTTATGCTCGCCATTTTGCAGCGGACATGTTTGTTCTTGCTGCGGCATAAGTGTGCTGGTGTGCGTGCGCGTATGTGTGACTTCCTGTTGACGTGCAAGATGGCCGACAGAAGAGCGTCGACCATTAAAAAGCCGGGAACGCTTCCAAATAGCCCAGCAAATATCCGTAAGAACTCTTTTCGGTAGACTTAACTGAGCTTACCAGAAAAATATTATATGCTAACTGAACAAAAATAACTAATTTACCTCATCGATTAAATTTTTTTTTTAAGTGTCAAGTTATTTCTAATATTTTTAGTCATTTAAAATATAAATATTTATTATTAAATAAATATTAAATATTTCTTATATTTAATTATTCTTCAAACTTTTCAGCATAATAATCAAATTACAGATCGATTTTCCCTTACATATACCTCAATTATTTTTGGTGTTCAGATTTTTTTGATTTGATTTAAAACAAAACATAAATAAAATAATTATCTTATTCAATAAGCCCTAAAATATTGCAAATAGGTAAGCCAATTAAAAATTGTTAAATATATTAGGGGCTTAATTCGAAACTCATAAGATAATGGTTTAGAAAGGATCTTAGTCGTTTAATAAATTGTAGATTTTAAGAAGATGAATGTAAGTTATTTATTTGATCATTCCCATAGGGAAATTTTCAGTTCTTTTTCGCGGGAATGCACTCTTTTGATTGCAAGTTATTTGCATTCGAAACCAATTTCTTGTCTTCTTCCTTTCCTTTTGTCATTGCGCATTTGACAAAAATGTGGCCAATAAAATGGCAACTGGCTGTGGAAAACATCAAGGACAGAAATGGCAAAAAACAAAGGCTTAACCAGATGGAGAAAATATTATGAAAAAAGTGAAAGACAGAGGAAGACAAGATAATTGATTGTTTGATTCAATCGCAAAGTCAAATGCTTTTTTCGTAGCTGGTACAAAATGGTTTTTGGATGATTGCGTAAGCGTCAAAGGAAACGCACCGAGCATTGAAAATTGGTTACAAATTCTGATTAGAAGCGCCAGCAAAACAGACAGAGGTAAAACCAGGCCAAAATGGAATAAATACAAGCAGAAGACAAATTGGGCGTCACTTGCCGGTGGGTGTGGCAGTTGTACAAATTGAATTGTATTCGGTTCGAGGGCATTGATAAGACAAAGCAATCAGTCAGTCAGTCAGCCAGTCAGGAAGTTTGAAAACTGGTCGAAATAAGGGCTTTTGCCTTTGGAGGAGAGTCTGCAAAATAAATGTTGGCAGCCTAGAAGGATGATATAATTGGTAAAGTGATCGATTAGATGTGTGAAATGAATTATACGATCCCAGATAAACATCCCAGAAACAGTTCTTGGGAATTTATACACTTCTTTTTTTTGGAAAACCTATCTAAAAGAATTATTTACAAGAAAAATTAAAAGAATTAAATCATAATCTTAGTAAGAAACATAATAAACTACTCCTAAAAGATTCCAGATACGAAAGCCTCTTTAAAATTTAAAACGTAATTTGGGTTTGATTCGGAACTGATACGATAGCGATGATTAAAATGAAAAAAAAAAAACTAAATCCCTTACAAAAATAATGAAATTTATAAAACCATCTATTTTATAACAAAGAAGAGATATTCGTGCCTATATCCACTTAATCATTGTTATGCAAATAGGATAAATTTGTTTTTTTTACTGTATTAATTTGTTATTAACCTGCATATCCCCGTGCTTACAAGTTAAACTGAAATCACTTTTTCGCTCGATATCATTTACACAATTTGTACCACCCAAAAAAACATTACTTCTGGACGCCCCGAAAGCAAACCGAACTGAAACCGCATTTGCATTACTTTATCGTCATTTTGCCAATTTTGAGTTCTCAATCAATTTGCCGCAAAAAGTATTCGTTCATTCGCAATTTTGCATTTTGCCAATTACAGTATAGCTGATTGGATTGTTGCCAATCTTTTTCCGATTGTTTTTTTCGAATCGCCTGGATGTGTGAGTGTGTAAAGTGTCTGATATGTTCGGACCTTCCCCGGCATTCCAGGGCAACTCAATTAAATCGAACTGCAATCATATTCACCTGCATCCGTTTTCCGCTTCACGCTCCACATTGTTTCAGCTCCCCACGGCTGCCTGGGAATGTATCTTTAAAATTCGAATTCATATTACAGATTACAAATTCGCAGCATGTTTGTCATTCCACAGTTTTGTTCATGCTGCTGCTGTTGCCGCTGCTGATGCCAATTTTCGGTTGTTTTATTTATTTTTCTGAATTTCCCCGCCCCCATACCCTGTGGTGTTTTTTCCTTTATTTTGGTCCTGCCACGGCCATTTTTAATTGCGTGGCATTGTTGCTGGTTTTGTTGGGTATCCTTGATGTACATATAGATTTCGTTTCGACGTCAGACTGATGTTTGTGTACACGGAGCAGTGTCCTTTATTTGATTTCAGTTTCATTTCGAAAATTTGTAATGCGCCTCGTGTAGCGCCGGATCCTGTTCCGTGCCTGTTCCGCCGTCTCCGCCGTCGTCGTCCTGGGAAGGATAATGAAACTATGCGCTTGTCGCCATTCCGTTTGTTTTACACGCCGCCCCCAAAAAACCCTCTCCCCCAACGAAAATAGTGCGCCCAAAGTGCGCCCTCGACCTGCAAAGCCCGACATGTGATTGGCACCAGTCTGTCGGTCGGATGTCCCTCAAACCGGGGGCCCACTGTACGTGGTTTTCGCCTTTTCTCCTCCTGGCCACCCTGTCATCATCATCATCAGGAGGAGCTGACAGAGCAGCTGGGCTTCCCAGGGCTGGGTTTTAGTTGGGATCTGGGTGCTGGGAGTGGGGTCCCACTGCTGCGGTCCGTCTGCGGCATTTCAATTTCAATTTTAATGCCAGCTACAAAAAGTCGCAAATAAAACGTACGAAATCATTATTCCCCACTATTTGCTCAAGGTATACTGATGGAAAACTTCGGAGAAGGTGGGAGCATCAAGGGATTATCGAAAAATTGGGAGATATGTGTGGATGAATTCGGTTTACTGAGTTGCAAGTTACGTCTGTTTGCTAACAGTACTCTTAAATAATGTATTTCATTATAATATAAAAGCTTGGCAGTTAATATGTATTTAATAAAAAATATTTTTTTGATTTAACCATTAATAACAAATAAATAATTTACCATCTTAATTACCAAGAATAAAATACACATAATTAATAGTTTTGTTAACCAATATTTTTCATAGATTTTCAAAGA